TGCATAATTAAAATTAGAGAAAAGAGATATCTAGGATGCATGATTACTAAAACAAAGCAACTTGATTGTTTAAAGCAAGTAATAGGTATATATGATGCATATGATGATTTTACTACTTGTGTAATGGAGTGAGTATGACGATTTCACAAAAATCTTCTACATAACATACAAAAATATAGTAATACAAAGAAACAATAAAATGAGCTAATCATTCAATTCATATGATCATCCAAATCAATCCAAATTCCTAAAACACGAGAAAAAGTCTTGTTCATCTCATATGATTTTATTTTGACTTAAATAATTTTTTTTAAAGGGAAATAGATTAAGTGTTTAAAAACAAAGAAATTTCTATCTAGAGAGGGTATAATGATAAAAAAAAAATTGTTCCAAAACAGAAATAGGACTATCTTTATTGTTTTTTAAACGCCCAAAATGGAAAGTGGGACTGTCAATTTGAAAATGAGGGAGTATTTTTTTTTATTGTATGAGTTTATTGATGTTTGATTATTACAATTATTGATTTTACCTATTTAACTACTTTATACTTATTATAAATTATTTTTACTCCGTGCTAAACTTTAATTAATGTACTAATCCAAGATTATTTTTACAAAATTATAACTTTTTTTATTATGGCAAAAGAATGGAACATGACATAAGTAATAAAGTACAATTATTTTCATACATATATTAAGGTCGTGTGTGAGTGTGTCTATGAAAGAATGTATCCTTCTACGAAATAAATTTAGGGGGTGTTTGGTTCATTATACTGGAATGGATTGAAATGGAATCTCATACTAAAATGGTATGGATTCTAAAACCCATACTAGCCTAAAGTTGTTCGGTTTAATGTTGGAATGGATTGTATTCTTCATTAATAGAATGGATTGTGAATCTTAGGGGGGAGAGTTGGGTATGAGATTCCATAGGTATGGGGGGGAGTTAGAACCCTTTGGGTATGAGATTCTATTACTACAAACCTCAACCAAACAAAAAACTAGATGAAATAGATTCTAACTCCATTCCAACCCATTCTAAATGATCCAACCAAATGACCTCTTATAAGTTTAGGAGTTTCCGTACCACCACAACGACATTAAAAGAGGGACATGATGAATTAGTAGCTAGATTTCAATGTAACTATATGTCTTATTAAATTCAATATATTAGTCATTTTTTTTTCTTTTGTCTAAATTTGACATTAACCACATGAACTACCTAAGAATATATCTAAGATTAGTCCATTATTGACTAGACTTATGAATGTACCCATTTGAAACAAATACGTAGTAAATGTATTCCATTTTAATGTATAAACAAAGAATAATTTCAACCATGCTATATATATCTAGATTATTGAAAATTGGTGAAATTAAAAAGAATATTTTCAACCATATTACGTAGCCACTAAAACAGAAATTCTAATATTGAAAAATCAAGTGTGCAGTGAGTAAATAGCTCAGTGGAGCTACACTCACATTCCGTGGTCTCGACCCGAGATCAAGCACATCCCCGGGGCACTCCTACCCACATTTTCCTCCTGTGATAGGATAGGATGTGTAGGCCCCGCTTACCCCCAAAAAAAAACAAACAAACAAATATTGCAAAATCAAGTTTTCATATATACTTTAATCAAATAATTCAATATGTACTCATTTGAATCCTAAGAGCACTACCAATGGTGAGCTAAAAATTTGCTCATGGACATTTTGGGTGGGCATAAAATTTGCTCATGCATTACAATGGTGAGCAAATGAGAAAAGGCCAAAAAATGCTCATGAGCATTTCTGAAAATGCCCAATACTTAGCATTTTTGAAGATGAATAGTGCTCTGGTGGGCCCAATAATTTGCAATGGTTATGGTTATATTTTTTGTAATGCAAATTCTGAAATAAATATTTATTAAAAAAAATTAAAATTACCAACGGTCATAAAATTTAATTCTCTATAAATAGACATGCATTTTGGTATATTTTGGTATAATTTCAGAAATATCATAAATCCTCCATATTCTTATTTTAACGATAAAAACGACACAAATAAAAAAAAATAAGTTACACAAATTTAGACTAGTTTTTATTTATTTGGAGTAATATTGTTAAAATATAAATGAAATTAATAAATAAAAAAGTGTTGTGTAGGAGAGAGAAAGTAATGATGGGGTATTGAAAAAGTAAGAGAGAGAGAGAGTAGTGGACAAACATTTTTTTTACTCATCATTGGGAGAGAAATTGTGAAAAAAATTTGCCCATGGGCAAAACAGATTTGTTGAGAGAGAAAGTAGGTGGGCATTTTTTTGCTCACCATTAAGAGTGGTCTAAGTACTGAATATGAAGCATGCACAAGTTGTTGTCACATTTACAAGTTATTGTAGAAAGGTAGGTAAGATTATCTTTGATTAAACATAATTATCTCAATACATACAGGTACTAGATATTGTATGGAATCTTACTTTAAAACATAATTAATTCCTTCATTTCCAAATAAAACAGACTACATTTCTTTATTTGATTATCCCAAAATAAATAATGTGTGAGTTTGCTCGATGATACTTTTAAAAAAACGTAATACCTTAAAACTTCTCATATATTTTTCTTACAATCAAATACCTTCCTGAATTAAGAATTTCAAACAAAGATATGAAAGTTAAAATGGTGTCTAACTCAACTCCTTACAAATATCGTTGATTAAATATATATGCTACAGTCTCTATAGAGTACTAGAAGAATTTTATATATACGAAGAGGCCAGGAAACCGATTAAATTCTCGGACATCCGTATACTCCGAAAAAAGCATGGCAAACGCAACTATGCGAGTACTAGTACTCCGAGGAAGTTCATACACACAATTACTATTGTCATGAATGACAATAAGTGTACACATTTTATATATGCGAGTACTAGTTTGTGTTGGTAAATTTATACTCCCTCCGTATTTTAATAAATATTACATGTTGACCGGCACATAGTTTTAGATAATTTAATTAACTTAAATAAAATAAGAGATAAGTGGGGTACTTGGAGTATTAAAAAATTGTAAAAGAAAGATAATGAGATTAATAATTTATTAAAAAGTAATAAATGTGAGAGGGGGAAAATAATAAAAAATGTAGTAGTGGGTTTGGGTGGGGACCATGAGAGGAGAGAGATATTGTATTAAAATGTAGCTTTTTACCAAAAAAAGAAAGTGTAACACTTATTAAAACACAGCCGCATTTGGTAAGTGTAACACTTATTAAAACACGGAGGGAGTACCTCATGTTGGTACAGTAATTTTACCAACATAAAGTCTAAAAATACCAAAAATCTTGTTGATATATTTAGACCACATATTAGTATAGTAATTATACCAACATGAAATCTAAAAATACCAACGGAACTTTGTTATTATCATTGAAAACATGAACAATTATTGATTCAAACAACCTCCTAGTACTCCGGCCAAAACATGCAAAAGGAAGGAAAACAATGCATTGGCCCATGCAAGAAAAGGAGGACAATGTAAGAGCAATGTATAGGTTATTATTATACACAAAACATTGAACTTTATACCCTGTCAACGGAAGGCTGATTGCCAAAAACGCTAGGAGAAAGGCTTAATCATTTCATGCAAAAATTTAGGGGAATTGAATCAACCAAAAAAGGTTGTAACAAACGTGAGTGCATAATTATGCTAGCTTGATCATCATAATTATGGGATTTATTTGCAACTATAAAGTTCCTGTTGCTTTCTTCTTACTTTACAGCCTATTCATTCTTTTTCCTGTGATTTTTCTAATAAAAAAAGGTCTCATTGGCCCTACTTTGGTACAAAATTATCTTTCTTTACATCCATAATTTATATGTTTATTAGGCCTTTTACTATTGTTTATAAGTCTTTTTCTCAAATTAAAAAAATTGAATACTTTTGGAATTTTATATACTATCCTCAATCCTTCATATATCAGTATATCTTGATCCACAATTCCACAACACTTGTAATTTAAACTTTAGTTCTATACATTGCAATATTGTAAACATGATGGAATTTGTAAAATAATTGGATATAAAAAGATGTACCGTAAATATTTTGAAAATAGCTTTGTTTGAAAGAAGTATATGAGAGGAATTTTGCTTCATTGTAAACAACTTAACTTGTATAACGTGCAAATCAAACTAGTTAACTAGAATAACTTTAGGAAACAGGGGAGTATATAATTGGACCTATATTTCATAAAATTCATGTACTCAAACTTGCATTGTTTTGTAGTGTTTTTTTTTTTTTTTTAATTTGAGGAAAAGCAGAGCTAATGCATTAATCAATGCATTAATCAATGGACAACTTGTCCTAAGGGGAGATCATCACAAGACAATGATTCACCCAAGGAGTAGTCAATATGATGGTACATAAAACACAACAAAGATACAAATTTGACATGAGAATCAAGATTGCCATAATTTCCTTAATATTTTCATCTATTAAAAATATATATTTCCACACTCCGCTTTTCTTGATTTCCGAAGAAATGAGAAACTAGCATTGTGTTATGGGACGGAAAGAGTACTTAATAGCTTGACAAACTTGAGTGCCAAATATTTGAAAACCTCTAAACATGCTGCTCCTTTCCTAACCATTTTTCTACTAGTATTATTAATAATGTTTCAATGTAAAGCAGTAAACTAGTTAAGACCTTAAGATGACAACTTAATTTTCAGTTACCTAAACATTTTAGTTTCTTAACTTATATAAAAGTCTATTAGCAAGTAATTCTGTGTTATTGGATGTTCATATTGTATATTATAGATTTAGACGAAAAAGTAGCGAGTTGGATTAAACAGTCCACGCCTAATTCGATCAACATTTAGGTGTATAAATCATTGTCGTTTTCATAGATAGAACTATGAGTTACAGCTCAAGCGTGAAGGCCGTTGATGACCATTGTTTTATACCTCTCTTTTACTGTTTTAGCATGTGTTAGGAAAAAAAAAAATGAGAATTTGATAAAACAAATAATCCCTCAAAACATAATAATATATACTTTGATCATACCAGTGATATACTGCATAATGCACCAAAAAATACTGCAAGTAATCCTAACTGAGAGAATTTAAAGCATAATTGTATTCTAAAACGAGTAACTGACTATCAATACTGAAAGTGAGGAATGACATTATATTAAAACATCAGAGCAGCAAATATTACTTATTTACTTAAAAGCAAATGGGCACCTTCATTCTTCACCTTCATCATTAGCTGAAAAACTTCTTGAAAAGTCGCAGCCATCAACTTTTACCCATATACATGTTTGCTATGATAGCAACAAGATCATGCAATCAAGCATCATTCATTCATTTGGGTTCTATATAGTTGAAATAAACAGTCATTTTTCCAGGAACACAAGTTCTTGTTCACCTCAGTTTGGTTCATAAAGGGGTGATAAATTCTCTTGGGTAACAAATAGTTTGTCAAAGGGTAGAAAACAGTCTTTGAGAAAGGGATGTCACGTTTTCCTTCTCATCCCTCCCCCTGCTACTCAGCACTTCCAGAGAATGAAATTTGAATTTGAAAAAAAAAAAATTTCAAACCAAACATAACCATGAATTTCAGTTGACTGCAAACCAGGTTGTCAAGAATCAGTATTGCAGTCTCAAACACTGATAAACATACGCAAATTCCAAAACTAAGCTATAGCCCTTCACATGTATCTTCCATAAAGAGCTACAAGATGAAATCTGGGTAAGAAAACCATAAGCTAGCTCCAGAGGCAAAATTTGCCTGTGTGAAGAAAAAGGTAAATTCTATAATAAGAAAACAAAACAACCATGAAGGAAAAAGACATGATTGCTCACCAAACCTTCACAAAGAACAGGTGACAAGTGATGAAATAATGTGACTAATCATCTTTCCAAATATTTTCACACCCCTCCTTCAAGCATTTGTATAATATTGTCATGGGTTCATCAGCCGATCTGGTTTGAAATTGTTTAAATTCTGCTTCGCCATGACCACATTTTGGACAAGTGGCTGAAGGTAAAACATATTGTTAGCTCTGATTTAGCTAGTCAATTTAATATTTTGCATGCACGTAACATACTAGTATACTACTGCAAGAAACTAGGGCGAAGCAAGCATAAATGAACAACAGTGGAGCCAATCATTAGATACAAGCATACTTCACAGTTTCATATTAACCCATAGCTCCTGCATAAATTCTCAACTCGCAATGGTTTACCAATCATCTTTGTTTCTATAAGTCTGGCCAAATGTAAGCCAGCTGAAGCAAACAAAATTTGACCAAACAAACCATCTTCATTTTAACAGGAGATGTGGCCATATGAACCTAACACAACTAGATCAAACAAAATGTTGCTAAACCAAAGGACTGAAGAAACAAAAATAAATCATGGGTAGATTTCAACCTATCGATGCATTAATAAGCACATAGTAACATTATCATTTACCAGCAGAGTTATTGGGATACCATCAGCAGTATCATCAAATACACTCCAAAGTTCAAAATGGGTGAGGCAAGCTTTCTAAAGAGGGTTCAGTCCGATGTACTAGACTAATTCATCACCCATGATGAAGCAATATCCTAAATTTGAAAAGCAAGTAGCATTGCTGCTTCGTGTTTTATAACACCACCTCTCATGTACAGGCAAGACATTACAAAGGTAAGACACTAAAAATCAAATTTCTTAACAACAAAATTCATACACCATTACTGCTATTCAAGTTTTTTAAAAGCTGAAAAATAAAGTAATAAAAAATACATAGGCCTAGAAATTCTACTAGAATCTATAAAAAAAAAAAAAAAAAAAAAAAAAAAAAGGGTCTTGTTTATTAAAAACTTGTTAATTACCAGCATGTTATTAGTACGAAAAGTTATTATGTAGAGGGAACACACTATTTTGCCACTCAGAAGAATAGAAAAGGATTCGCATACCAGCAGTAGTATCCCCGACAGGTTTTTTCCCCACGGCAATAGGTGTTGCCTCTTTATTGGTCAGTTGCACCCCTCTCTTAATTTTCACCTGAAACCAATAGGGAGTAATGTTCTAACTATTAACACATATTTAAAGAAATACGAAGTAGCAAAGATCTATCAGAACAGCTGATACATAAATACATACCTTTCTCTCTATAGGAGAAATGTAATGGCAAGACCGACAAAAGAATCTAGCAGGATTTGTCATTTCATATTGCAGCAAATTCGCACAAGTGGGACAAAATTCCATTCTCGAAGAAGAATTTAGAAGACAAGAATTCAAGATGGACACCTACAAAATCAAAAAGAAAAAGACATTCACCGTAATTGTTCAGTACTCCACCAAACTCATAGCACAAACTGAAAATTGTGCAGTTTGAGAACAGAAAAGTCACTACTCATTTAGAAACTCTCTTTCTGCTCATTTTCTCTTTTCATATCTTTCTGTTTCTGCATTTCCCCTCTATGGACTAAGGTAAGGTTTTTATTCCCTCTTTACCCCTGTGCGCAGCCAAAGTACCAAAAAATCAATGATAGAGATTAAATTTGAAATAATTTTTACTCTTTTTACCTTATCAATACTATTGTTCGAGTAAAACCAAAGCAACCTAGTCTGATATTACAAAGGGTACAAAATTGCATCCAAGAATTTCTTAGTCAAATTGTGGGGCTCAAGCCTCAAGGGCAAAGCCAAAGCTCTATTCTGGTGGGGCCTAATGTTATATGTTTTCAAGTTTCACTTATTTTTCTTTTTTCTAGAAACAAATATATGAATATAGTAGTGATCTATGAAAATAAACTAAAAAAAAGCAGCAAACCGAAAATAATATTCCTTATTTTAGGAAAATGATATACTTGTAGCAGTTTTATTTGAAAAAAATATAGATAAATAAAATCGATGCTCTTCTAGATAAATACACAGATTTCATCCATGCACATCAAAACCAAGGGTATCATTTTAAGCGTGCTCCGCTACCACTCTAATAAACACTTTCATTATGATTGTTGTCAGATTGGTAAAATTTGAATACAATTTAAGAATGTTGACAGGGGCCTTGGCCTCCTTAGGCCCCGATGTAGCCCCGGGTCTCTAATTCAACACCAAAAAAGCTACACTATATATATTCTTAATCAAAGATTTGATTTTCCATAATAAATTTCCTAACCAATAAACCCCAACCAAAAGAGCAAGTCAAAACCCAATGGCAGAGAACTGAAATGAGAGAAGGGTTCATTACTTCATGCAGCAAATAAATATCCCTGGTAAAAAAACTCAAAGATCCTTGACAATGTGTTTAGTTTGCAGTTAATGGGAAAGAGGCTAAGGTAAAGACCTTAGTGGGTGAGGGAGTGCGAGGGAGGAGAAGGAGGGGGAGATGAGGACATGCATTTTCCTTACAATGCTTTTGAGCATAAGAAATTTTCAGTTTACATAAAGAGCAAGGAAAATGGATCCTTCCCATTCCCTGCTTAAATAAAATGCTAGAACACTATCAACCAAATCTCCAACTCATATTCTTAGAGACGAAACACAATTACTAAAAATAAAACTCTTTTTATCATCTATAAAGTATAAACATACACTCAAAAGACGAACAATTATAAACATTCACTCAAAAGACGAACAATTGAAAGCTGACAAATGTATTTTCCATCAGAAGATGAGATATTTAGTTCTTAATATTTCTGTTTTCAACCATTCTAACAGAAAAACCTAGCACACAGAAATCAGTACATTGCCAATTAACTAATTACCGAGTTCCAAAATCATAACAAGAATCAATTAAGTGATGCTATAAATAATAAGTACATTGCCAATTAACTAATTACCTCTATTCTGATATTTGATCGTTTCGTCGATTTATTATTTGAGAATTCCTTTCAATTAATTGGATTGATCAAATCTGTTCCAATGGGCGTCACATACTCCAATTTCATACTTACATTGAGATAATAAACAAAATAGCACCCAAAATTCACAGGAAATTCTTTTCTTTTGAGAACATGAACAAAATAGTTCATTATAATCTTCAGAAATGCAGATATAATGACCAATAGTTCAATAACCCACCTTAGAAAAGCCCTAAATTGCGAAAATTAACTATAATTAAGGAAGTTAAGTTAACGATAAACCCTAAATGGTGAAATTGATACTCGATGATTTTTGTAAAAAAAAAAAAAAAAGAAATATAAAATTACCTCAGAAACTGGTTCAATGAAGGAGAGAAGCCACTTCAATAGAAAACGATTCAGTGGAGGCGATAGAAAGTAAGGTGCAGCGTAAAAAGAGGCCAAAAAAAAATCAAGTTATGGCTGGTTTTACAAGTTATGGGCCTTCAGGCCCAAGGCCCATTTTATCAATGACGCGTAATAACGCAGCCACGGTCAGAGATCTTTAACTGGACAAGTGGTGAGTTGTTAAGTTGTACGGAGTATTATTGTGTGAACAACAAGATTGTACACGTGATTTGCGACACTGCCCACATATTACAACTAAACTACACCATTAATTTAATTTAACCATTGCTAATTAGCCACATAGGGTGGTGGGCTCACTGCAATAAACGAGATAACTTATGCAATTGGAATTCCAATCAACGTCTAATTTTAGGGTACTTTTATTAGTATTTGGATAAATTTTAACCCTGATAACTTGACATTCAAAAAGACAATATTATTGTATACTATGATGGTTTCACTGTATAATAAATATGGTACATTAAATATAAACCCCCTATCCACAATCACAATTTACCTTGATAAGTTGATATTACTCTAGTTAAAGATTTTAACAAAATACAGCATTAATGTTATGGTTGTATTATTATAATAATAATTCATGATTATCAAAGATAATTGAAATTTTGACTGTTTACAAAAGAGAAAATTATAAAACTTAGTGAGTATTAAAGATAATTTCTCAAAATATAACGCAGGAAGTATAATAAAAAAATTGTCCTTATTAATCTAAAAATTATCCCAAGTTTGACCATGAATTCTCGTTAATATATAATATATTCATGTGAAATCTTATCAGAATTGTCTTATTATATATTTTATTAATACAGAGTATCAAATTTATAATTTTTATGCGTATAGAAAGTGAGATATATACGTTTAAACACGCGCCTTTAAAACCGTAAAAAGTCAAATATGGCAAAAAATAAGGGACAAAGGGAGTAAAAATTACGCCTTATCCTATATTTGAGCGAAAATTATTGCGTACCAGTTTGCGTTTTCAAAATCAAAAGTAAAAAAAGGTGTAAATTTTTGCCAAACAAGGTCAAAAGGTAAAAAGAAAAAAAAAGAAAAAAAAAATCCTTTTTTAAAAGAAAAAAACTACAAAAAAGTAGGGCAAACAAAATCAATAAGAATCTGAAGCAAAATCAGGTCTTTTAACACTTTACCTTAACAGCCACCCCAGCTTGCTTGGAGAAAACTCTAAGAGTTGACTGCAAGCGGGCGAAGAAGAAGAGCCGCCTACATTATCACCCCTTCTTTCTCTCTCTTCTGGTGAATTTCATTACCCACATGCGAATTCTGGTAATTTTTCTTTTTAATCTTGCAACAACTTTCTAGACTTTCATTATTCTGTTTTTGGTTTATTCTAATTTTGGCCTACATTTTATTTTAAAGTTTCAATCTTTTTGTTATGATTTAATAATTTGATGATATGGGTGTTCTTGATTATTGCATTTTGCGTTTGTAATTGATAGATTTTCATATTTTTAATGGGGGGAATGTGAAAGATTTGATTGGGATTGTGATTTTAATTATTGAATCAATTGTGGGTTCTTACGTGAATTGTTGTAAAATTTGATTGAAATGTCCGAAATTCGAATCTTTTTGGTGTAAAATTGAGGTAAATTATGAAAGAAAACTCCAATTTTACTGATGATGCCCTGTGTTTTTGCAACTCAGGGTCCAATTTTATATATTATTTTTCTAGGGGTACAATTCATTTGGTGACAATGGAAGATGATCGTTGGTGGAAGTCGATTTTTGAGAGCTGCTATCAACATAGTGTTTGGGATCTCTTCCATTTTCTCCGATTTTCCCCCTTTATTTATGCTCAAAATTTGGGTTGTTTATTTTTTTTTTTTTGTGAAATTTTGAGACTGACTGACAATATATGGTTGTATGCTTGTATCTTAAAAGATGTGATTGCAATTGGACCTCTTGTCATGAATGATATATACAAACTCGGATTTATTCACTCTATTCGGACACTCATATTCACACATAGACTTGATCTTCACCCTCACATGGAGGAACACAGACACATATCATACCGTAGATATGTCTGTGGATCGAACTTTTCCTTGGGATAGATGACTATGGGTCTTCAATAATTAGGATCTTGTGACTGTTACTATTAACAAATTTCTTTGGGCTAATTTCTTTAGTAAAAATTATGAATTTGGTCTTTTGTTGAGTTTGGGGTTACGTCATTATGTGTATCTGACAGTTCAGGCGGAGATGCGGTGGTGTCTCTGAACGATATGTTAGAGAAACTATAGAAAATTAAGCTGTCACAGGAATTATTGAAGCAAGTTGCACTGTTTGAAAAGTTTTCTGATAAGCATGATACATCTACTTCAATTTGATAAAACGTTTTTTTTTTCCTTCTCCTATCTTCTTGGAGACATTGCTGGGGGATAATTAGCTGCAGCACAGACGATTACACTGGATACTGTTGTTTGAGCCTTTTATTGTTATATGGCTGCGCTTGTAGGAAGGAAGATAATTGAGTCTGGATACATTAGCTTTATGCAGCCTGACTTGTAGAAAATCTTCATTTGGCTTGTTACCTGTATCTCATTACTTCTGCTTCTGACAATTGATTGCTATGCATGTCCTGCCTTTTGTGATCGATTCTTAATCCTTGAATTGCACATATGTTACTTCGACTTCTTATGAGATTATACTTACATATAATGTGCTTTGACTAGTGAGTGATTGGCTAAAAACTCAAAGTGTTGTCCACTTAATATTACATATATTGCAATCAAAATTGTCAATGTTTTTCAACAGCTTTGTGGATTACGTTTTCTTGTGCTGTGTATTGCACACAATGCTAATGAATATTTTCCAGACAAATTCAGCCTAGTTGGATCCACATTGTGAGTGATTGATTGATTGATTGATTGATTGATTGATTGGTAACTTGTCTCATTGGTCAAGTTATATTGGTTGGAGCCATTGGACTTGTAGTTTATTGCATATTGTTTAGGATTTCATGGCTTAAGTTTAATTCATTTGCACTGTTGTTTAAATGTTGTTTGCTGGCCTTAACCCACGACGCCCTTCTTGCTGCAGGTTTGACTGCATTTTAATGCTATGCTTCGAGCCAAGCAGATCAGTAGCTTTTCCAATTGTGCTAGATCCTTATTATATAGCGGGTCAAGATGTAGTACAGCTGATGGGAGCTCATGCTCATGCGCTGATGATGATAAATGTGCTTCAAGGAGACAGACTACATTGCTTCGGCCAAAACCATCGGCCGTGGTGCCTTTGCCTGCTGCAAGGGTAGATTCTGTAGTCTCAAAGGATGCAGGGAGAACTTCTCAAAAACCAGAAGATGGCAACTGCTCTACTTCTCGTCCACAAGTTGTCTCTCTTTCAAGCGCTTTGGGGAAACCTGACTGTGTAAATTATTCCACCAGCATTAATTCTGAGCAGAATGATGTGACACAGTCTTCAGCTCACATAACAGACCAGTTGGTCAAGGTAGGTATTGCTGCAGTAGGTTTTATATCAGATGTTGTGAATTATAAGATTCCTCTGACAGATGGAAGTGAAACAGCTTCTTCTGCACAAACCTATATGGTTGGTCATAGTAGACCCCGATCAACTGTCAAACCTTCATCTGTAAATTCTGTAAAGAAAGAAGATTTTTATGATGTACATGAGAAACCTTCGTCGAGAAAGGAGGCTGCTTCTAGTCCCTCAGTGAATTATCAGGGTCCTAAATGTAAAACTGATCATCAAGGGCCTGCTGAAGCTTTCAGCCACGAGACTATTAGAAAGGTCGGAGGTTCGGTAGGAACTCAGGCTGTAGCATCAGATAAGAAAAGCTACATAGGAACCCAGGGTACAGCTTCAGAAAAGAAAAACTTCATAGGAACTCAGGGTGTTTCATCGGAAAAGAAGAATTATAGTTCTCAGAAATCCAAAGCATACATTAATAGCCCTAATGTACAGGCCTCAAAAACAAAGTTTACTGGCAGAGTTCCTCACTATATCAATAATTATGCTAGGGATTATAAATATCAGGCGGGAACTGCTCCATTTTCTAGGCAGTATGTGAGCACTGCACAAGTTAATAGTGTTCTAGATATATTGAAAAGGCTGAAATGGGGTCCTGCAGCAGAAGTTGCACTTGAGAATCTCAATTTCTCGATGGATGCTTATCAAGCAAATCAAGTTCTGAAGCAGATTCCAGACTACGTTGCTGCACTTGGCTTCTTCTACTGGTTGAAACGCCGAGTAGGTTTTAAACACGATGGGCATACTTATACAACTATGGTGGGCATCTTGGGCCGGGCTAAACAGTTTGATGCAATTAATGTCTTGCTTGAGCAGATGATCAGGGATGGATGTGAGCCTAATGTAGTGACCTACAACCGTCTGATTCATAGCTATGGGCGTGCTAACTATCTCAATGATGCAGTAGGTGTTTTCCACCAAATGCAGGAAGCTGGTTGCGAACCTGACAGAGTCACCTATTGCACACTTATTGATATCCATGCAAAATCAGGTTATCTTGATGTTGCCTTGCACATGTATCAAAGGATGCAGGAAGCAGGCCTTTCTCCTGACACATTTACGTACAGTGTTATGATCAACTGCTTGGGAAAGGCTGGCCACTTGGCTGCTGCTCATAAGCTGTTCTGTGAGATGGTTGATTCGGGCTGTATCCCAAATCTTGTTACTTACAACATCATGATTGCCTTGCAAGCCAAGGCAAGAAACTACCCTGTTGCCCTGCAGATCTATCGTGACATGAAAAATGCAGGATACGAGCCTGACAAAGTCACATACAGTATAGTGATGGAAGTCCTTGGACATTGTGGATATCTTGAGGAGGCAGAAGCAATATTTTTTGAGATGAAAAATAAGAATTGGGTTCCTGATGAACCTGTTTATGGGCTTCTTGTGGACTTGTGGGGTAAAGCTGGGAATGCTGAAAAAGCTCTGCACTGGTATCAATCAATGCTGCAAGCAGGCTTGTATCCTAATGTGCCAACCTGTAATTCTTTGCTTAGTGCTTTTCTTCGAGCTCATCGACTTTCAGATGCTTATAATGTGCTCCTAGGGATGGTTAATATGGGACTAAATCCTTCACTTCAAACTTATACTTTGCTCCTCAGTTGCTGTACTGAAGCTAAATCATCCTTCAATATGGGATTTTGTGGGCAACTTATGGCCATAACGGGCCACCCAGCGCATGTTTTTCTGCTGAACATGCCAGCATCAGGGCCTGATGGACAGAATGTTCGGGATCACGTTGGAAGGTTCCTGGACGTGATGCACAGTGAAGACAGAGAAAGTAAACGAGGACTCATTGATGCTGTTGTAGATTTTCTTCACAAATCAGGCTTGAAGGAGGAGGCTGGTTCTGTGTGGGAGGTTGCAGCCATGAAGAATGTGTACCCTGATGCTGTGAGGGAAAAAAGCTCTTGTTATTGGCTAATCAACTTGCACGTCATGTCAGATGGAACTGCAGTGACTGCTCTTTCTCGGACACTAGCCTGGTTCCGCCGCCAGCTGCTGATGTCAGGTGTGGGTCCCACCAGGATCGACATTGTGACTGGTTGGGGTCGACGGAGTAGGGTGACAGGAGCGTCGTTGGTGAGGCAGGCTGTTCAAGAGTTGCTCAATATGTTTAGCTTTCCATTCTTCACTGAAAATGGAAATTCTGGGTGCTTTGTGGGGTGTGGGGAGCCCCTGAACAAATGGTTGCAGCAGTCATGTGTTGAGCGGATGCATTTGCTCTAGCAACATTTCTGCATGGTATGTTAGTTGCATTTTTGTGGCGGATGCCGGATAGAGCAACTAGCATCACTATTTTCGAGTATAATAAATTGGTGTATTTAGCTATGGCCTGTATGTACGTAGTTGATTAGCATTGCCATTAGGTGCCTAGTTTATCATTTTTATATATCTTAGCTGCAAATTTAGCTAGGCATTTTTGAAGTGTTCGTTTTATCAGTTAATCGCGGGTATTAGAAGCTTGTTATGGCTGAGATGCGGGTTTGCAACCTTGCAGATGCATTTAATTTAGTTTTTGTAAAGCTATCCATATTTTATATGTACTATGGAAAATTTCGAGGAAGGAATCTGTTATTTTAGCTAAAAGTCTGAGTTCTATTCTCTTTCGGAGTCTGGATATCTGTCCATTGGAGCCAACTGTAGTGATATATTGAATACTCCCTTTTACATTTTTAAAGTGTTCACTATTTGGATGAAATTGGAACCAATACAAACTGAATTAAGGATTTGGATCAAAATTTTAAAGTCGGATTGATACAATTATATTTCTTTTGTAATGGATATTATGTTTGGATTGAATTTGTGGAGTTCACATAAAAAAAAAATAATAAATGTGTCACCAATTTTTTTTTGCCAAACTACAGGTTTCTAACAAGTTTCAAATTGTCTTCATTGAGCTAGTAAAAGGAGACAAACGAGTTGAATGCCTAATGATCAAAGCTGATTTTGATTATTTTACAAGAGCACCAGCTTTTTGATCAATCTGATTTTCGTACCAAACAGAAGAGATTTGCCTGAAATTTGAACATATATTGGCTCGTGATTTGTTCACTGACTCACGATCATATTCAATCATTGACATCTCGTTTTACCTCAAATATATGGATGGTTAAATCATGTCATAAAAATATAAAACCCTAGAATTTGAGTATTGCCGATAAGTCTTTCACAAAGATTCGTAGTATAATAAGTTTACTCATCTAGAGAAAGAAATACAATGAGAAGGCCGATTGAAATAAGAAATAAGAAAAAATCTAAAAGCGTGAAAGCCACGTACATTACCACACTAAACAAGTCACTTCTCAAACATCAATTTTGAATTCAATATATCTCAATCTCATGTAAATCAAAATCAGAAGAAAAAGCCAAAAATGTACAAAGAATTACATGTAGAAGGTACAAAGGACTACAAACCAAAAACCAAAACTTATCAGAGTGTAAAAGACAAAATGTGTTACCACTCGGAATAGGCCACAGATCACATCATTAATCTTTAATGCAAATCATACCACATGTAGATAGAAAAAATACACAAAAGATTACGATGAAAAAGGTTCAGGTAAAAAAATCAAAACCGAGAATGTAAAAGACATATGTGTTACTACTCAAACTAAGCTACCTCTTACATCATTGATCTTTAATGCATATTTACCGCATGCAACTCAAAATCACTAAGAAAAAAATAGACAAAAGATACGATGAAAAGGTTGAAATAGAAACCCAAAACCAAGAGTGTAAGAAACATATGTGTTATCACTCAAACCGAGTCACCTCTGGAATCATTGATCTTTGATTCAATTATGCCACGTGTAAAAAAATAAATAAATAAATAAAAAACATAAACACAGGATTACGACCAGTCAAGCAACTAAATAGATTGTGTGAAAGATAAATATTGTACCACTCAAACCAAGCCACTTCTCAAATCATTAATCTTTATTCAATTATCCCACATGTAAATTAAAAATCGATCAGAGGTTTAAGTAGATTACTGAAACTAAGAGTGTGAAATAGGGATGACTATATTAAATGGATATCCATCAACCCGATAAACCTGCTTTAAATAGATGGACGAAAAATCAACATTAAATGGATGAGAAGCAAGTGACAGATGAAGCAGGTGATGGATCGGATCGGATGTGGATGATACTTTATTTCACCAGCTAACTATCTACCTACCTACTTGTTTAACATATATTAAATTATTTATCTAAAACTTTTTTTTTTAAGAAAATGAAATGTGAAAGAAAATTTCTTTGTTTTTTTTTGTTGCAAATAATTTTTTTTCAAACAATATGCTGTTATTGTTTCCTATTGCTAATTAAAAAAAAATTATTGTATAAACAACCTAAAATTAGAGTTTAAATATTCATCAATTAGTCACTCAATCCACCTGTTGTATCGGATGGATGTTGATAGAGTGTTTGGAATAATGGATAAATGCGGATGAAGCTTCACTCGATCTAAATCCGATCAATTGTCATCTCTAGTGTGAAAGACATATGTGTTACCACTCAAACCAAACCACTTTTTTTTTTTTTTTTTTTTTTTTTGTTGTTGTTGTTGTTGTTGTTGTTTTTGACATATGCTTAATTAACTTTAAAAATTACACGATATGGAGTAAGTTTGGTAAACTACCCAAAGAAGTTTTATTACAAATAAACCTACATAACATCGTCCTTGCAAGAAACAGTAGGTTTGAAAACCCAAGTAATAGCCTTCGAACATGCTTCAGTAGATACCCAACAATATCGTACCATTGTTATTTTTGTATCCCATATACCGTTGATTTTGGAGAATGGAAAGAAGAGCATGTGGTTAACAATAACACGAGCTCAAAAGGACACCAATAGCCCTTAACATTAGGCAACAGGGGTAGGAACAATAGACGATCCAGAGTTGACAACACACTAAGAGTCACTTGAACGAGTGACTCGATACCCCTTAACTATGGGTACTTTTGACCTTTTTTCGAAGAAAAAGACCATTACCATACTAAAAACCCCCAAAAGAAACTTATTGATCACCAATTAATACAATTATTATACCACTTTTCAAATTATTGATCACCAATTAATACAATTATTATACCACTTTTTAAATCGATTACATACACATCACCACTCAAATCACACCACTCATAAATATTAAAATCATTAACCTTTAACGCAATTATACCTCATTCAATTCAAAAGGCACACAAAAAAAATATGCCAATAATTTGCGAAATATACTCCCTTGAGTCCTTGACCACAACCAAACAACAAGACCACTCACTCATTCCCTCACTCGAAATTTGTTTGGTAGGTGAGATTGTGTATTTGGTGGTACGACAATTAAAAAAAAATAAAAATAAAATTATTACATATAAAAACCCCTCAATATCCACCTTTTTGCCCCTTCATATTTTCATTTCTTGTTCTCTGTCATTACATCTTACCACCGAAATCTCTGCTACTTTTTTTCTGTTTTTTTTTTTTTTTTTTTTTTTTTGTTTTTAATTTTCTCTCTCCTCTAATTTTTCTTCATATGTTACGACTCAACTGAGTCAGACACACACACACAATCCCCACTCTTCTCTCTACTGCCCTAAACAATGGGCCACAAGAAGCGCGCAACCATCACCACCTCCGCCGCCTCTCACCGGAATTTATCATCGCCGCCGTCAACACCGCCGACGAAGGAAATCAATTCTCCGGCGACCGAGTTGGCCGAGATGAAGCAGGAGTGTGAGAAAGCCCTAAATGCGCTTCGTCGTGGTAATCACAACAAAGCGCTGCGATTGATGAAGGAATCGAGTCAGAAATTCGAGAGTTCTGCGGTTTTTCAGCGTGTTCATGGTACTATTGCTGTGAAAGTTGCGGGGATAATGGATGATCCGAATACGAAGCAGCGGCATTATCGAAACGCGGTGGAATCGGCGAGGAAGGCAGCGGCGTTGTCGCCGAATTCGATTGAGTTTGCGCATTTCTACGCGAGTTTGTTGTTTGATACTGCGAATGATGGGAAGGATTACGAGGAGGTGGTTGCGGAGTGTGAGAGAGGATTGTCGATTGAGAATCCAATTGATCCTATTAAGGATAATTTGAATAATCAGCATTTGGAGGATAAATCGTTGTTGAATTTGACGCCGGAGGCGAGGATTGCGCAGGTGCAGGGGGAGCTGAGGGGATTGATCCAGAAGTCGAATATCGCGTCGATTTCGACATGGATGAAGCATTTGGGAGGGCCGCCTGGGGAGGAGAAGTTTAGGTTGATTCCGTTGAGGAAGTTTGCGGAGGAGCCGTTGGATTCGAGGTATTTTTCGACCAGTAATTCGAATTCAAGGAGGCCGAATGAGATCAAGAAGGCTACTAAGACGACTGAGGAGAGGAGGCAGGAGATTGAGGTTAGGGTTGCTGCTGCTAGGTTGTTGCAGCAGAAGTCTGAGCAGGGGCAGGATGCTGAGGAGGGGAAAAATGGCGGTGGTTCGATGTCGAGTAGTGTGGTTTCTGGGACTGGTGTGAGTAAGGTTGGTGATAGGAGAAAATATGGGAGTTCTAAAAGAAATTCTAGCTTTTCTGAGCGGAAAGATCAGGTAATTTGGGTCTTGATTTTACTTTGTGATGCATATACTTTCTATGAAGATAATCATGTTGTTTTTGCCATTTTCATTCATGTTAAGAATTCAATTGAGTTTGATTAGAAAGCTGTATTGGTAATCTGGTATTGTATATTGGGTGTTAGTGTTTTATGAGATTGAATTGTGGACCATGTATTAATTGCAGGTGAGGTCATTCTGGAACTCACTGAGTTCTGAAACAAAGAGGGGGTTGTTGAGTGTTAGGGTTAGTGATCTTAGGGCGCATTTTAGTGCCCCGTCTAATAAGGATGGAGGTCAAGCGTGTGAGGTTTTGTCAGAGGCTCTTGAGTTTGGTAAAACTAATAAGACTTGGAAGTTTTGGACTTGCTGTCGTTGTGGGGAAAAGTTTTCACAGGCTGATGCTCACATACAGCATGTGGTTCAGGAGCATATGGGGAACCAATTGTCAAGAGTGCAGACTGCTGTGCCACAGAGTGTTGCTAATGAGTGGGTCGAAATGCTTAGTAATTGTTCTTGGAAACCCTTAGATTTGACTGCCTCTGTGAGGATGCTAGAAGATCAGTCAAAATCCGAAGACTCTGAGTTTTCTGGAATGGAAAACCACAAGGAGCGAATTGATGACTGCTGGAATGACACTTTTGAGGAAGTGTGGGACTCATTACCGGAGAAAAAGAGCTTGGCTGATGGTTTCTGTGAGAGTAAAGAATATGATAGAGATTCGAACATCGAGTGTAAAACATGTGATAGAAAAGAAAGCTCCAAGGTGTACAGTCTTACAAATAGTTGGCCTTTATATGATGATATTGAGCGGGCAAAATTGCTCGAGAAGATCAGCTCTTTATTTCAAATGCTAATTAGGCACAAATGTCTTGCTGTGACGCATCTCCATAGGGTGATACACTATACCATGGAGGAGTTACAGGGCCTTTTTCCTGGCTCAAAGATTCTAAACTCTGGTGTGGATGATACCCCTTTATGTATATGCTTTTTGGGAGCTAACCAGCTTAAGAGGTTAATAAAGTTTCTGCAGGATGTGTCTCATGCTTGTGGTGTGAGTAGATATCCCGAGAAAATCACCGCAGATAATGCCAGTAATTGCTCCCAAGTTTCTGACTATGAGGAAAGAATCATGCTTAGTGATGATGCATCATCCCTCTTACTGGATGAGAACTTACTGAATTTTGATGGCACGAGAAATGACTTGGGTTTAGGCTATTCTATTGGTGTCTCTGAGAAGAGTGTTCAGCCCGGTTCTGATTCTTTTTTGTCCTGGATATATGCTGGATCTTCTAGTGGGGAACAGATAGCAACATGGTGCAGACTCAGAGAAGAAAGATCACAGCAAGGTATGGAATTGCTGCAGATGCTTGAGAAGGAATTTGGCCATCTCCAGAGCTTATGTGATAGGAAATTTGAGCATGTGGGTTATGAAGAAGCTCTGCAGGGATTGGAGGAGCTTTGTCTGAAAGAAAGCAAGAAGAGGGAACACAACACTGAATTTTCTTATCATAGCTATGAGTCGCTCCTCAGGAAGCGCAGAGATGAGCTTGTTGAAGGTGAAAACGAAGTTATGTCTGTCTGCAATGATAGGATGGAGCTGGATGCCATCGCGAATATCTTGAAGGATGCGGAAACTATCAATACTACTCAGTTTGGATATGAAGAAACCTATGATGGGGTAACTTCTCATCTATGTGACTTGGAAGCTGGTGAATATGACTGGAGATCTAAGGACTATCTTCATCAGTTGGACACATGCACTGAGATGGCTATCCAGAAACAAAAGGAACAGATGAATATAGAGGTTGGTGTTTGGTGCTTTTAGATTCCTGTCAAACCAAAATTTGTTTGTTTGTTTGTTTTTTTTTTTTTTTTTTTTAATAATTTTTTTAAAAATTTTAAAATTTTATTTTAAATTTTTTTTTATTAGGACTGCTATCTTACCTTTTTAGCCATGCAGCTGTGCAAAATTGATGCAAGTATAATGCGGGATGTAGCCAGCATGCAGCAACTGGAGCTAAAGCTTGAACCTGTTTCTTCTCTTGATTATCGATTTGTGCTATTGCCACTTGTGAAGTCATTCATGCGGGTATGTGCAGACCTTGTTTGAATTTGTTTTATATGCTTCATTCCTGATTTTTAACTTACTTAGTCTTGTATAACCGTTATAGGCACTCTTAGAAGATCTTGCAGAGAAAGACGCCACAGAGAAATCTGATGCAGCCAGAGAAGCATTCTTGGCAGAACTGGCTCTTGATTCTAAGAAAGGCAGTGGAAGTGGAAATGATAACTCAAAACAAAGTCAAGATAAGATGAAGGACAGGAAAAAAAATAAAGATTCCAGGAGAAGCAAGGATTTAAAAGTATTCTATTTAACTATACCATGCTGTAAAAGTATCGTAGATTTCTATTGAGTCTGCTTTAATCTAGATACTGTAGTCAAATCTTCATACTAATTTGATACTCTTATGTTTATGCAGGTTGGAAGCTATAATGAGCACCTTGAGCCTTCTGAACAATTGTATGTCTATGCCTAATTATCATCATAATATGTTTATATAGTCACCTGCTAGAAGCCTTTCATGCCTTGTATTTTTTTTTATTCTCCCATTTAATATTATTTTGTAACACCAGTGATTGTTGCAGGCTATTATAATTTGTTTATTTTTGTTTGCTGCAGTTCTCTTAGTGTTTCCTCTGACGTTGATATTGTGGATAGTGACCTAGTGCCTTTGGAAAGTAGTGATAACCTTAAAGACCTGGAGGAAGAATTTCGAAGAAAGATTGAGCTTGAGGCAGAAGAACGGAAACTTGAAGAAACTTTGGAGTACCAGAGACGGCTGGAAAATGAGGCAAAACAGAAGCTTCTTGCTGAGCAGCGTAGAAAAAATGTTGCAGCCCCTCAAGATGCTGAGCAGTATGTGGGTGATGTTCCTTTGGAGCCTGGCTTCTCAGTAGCTGCACCCTGTAAGCAAGTATGATCCTTATACTTTCTGGTTATGTTACTGTTCTGGTCTTGTAAATTTGAAGCAATGTATTTAAGTGGTGCTTTCAGTGTTTTACCCTTGTCTCTTTGGAGAAGGAATGCACTCATATACGGATATGATATCTCTTATTATCGTAAAAAAAATTCCTAGCGACACACTCTTGTCAACTTAATGCAGGACCAACAGGTATTGAAGAGTGAATCTGAGAAAAACATAGATGGTCTGGATAAAAACCTGAGGGATGGCAGTGATTGTGCTGGTGTTGCTAATGATGAATGTAATAGAAGTGATATAAGTTATCTTAAGCAAGGTAAGCACCATAATTCTTGTTTTTTAGAACTTCCCCTGCATAAGATTCCTTGGAGGCATGTTTATTGGTCCATAGGATCCATATCGAAGTTGCCTTTTGGATCTGATTACATGACAATGATACTCTCATTTTCAGGATTATCTGATGGAGAAATTCCAAATGAAGTTTTGCCTTCTGAACGACGAACTGCAAGGAGAGGGAAGCGTAGGAGCTCCACAAAGATATCAGAAGGAAGGTATCAAGCTGTTTCTTCTGGAAAGGAAGATATTAAAGTTGAGAATTCAGCTGCCGATATAATGCAAAAAGACCAAGTCTGGAATCAGGATGATGGTGTCAGTCGCAATGGTAGGGTTTTCTAGGTCTGCTGCTAATCAGGATGTTTTTTTAATGCAGTTTTGTTTTCCTCATGCAGTCCTGCATGACTACTGACAGTTGCAAATAATTATCCTTTTTATTTTATTTTTATTTTATTTAATTTTTATTTGGACACTTATTTAATTTTGTGGATGTTTTCAAACTTATTAAATTACCTCTGATGTTCTTTCCCAAAAAAAAAATAAAATAAAAATTACCTCTGATGTCAATAAAACAGTTCTTGTGCCTTTTTTCCCCACATTTTCTTCAATAACTTGACTCATTTTGTTCATATAATGTTTTAGTGTTAGTATGATCTTGGTAGAGCAATTAAGAGCCTTCATATCTCCTTATATTTTCAGGTTATTATGATGGAGTTGATGGCCACTACTTATAGTGCTGGAGCTTTCATGCAGAATTTAAATTTGATTTTGGCATTATCTATAATATGTATAGATAAATGAGGCTATACCAGGACCATAAGGAGCACCATATAGGATTTCCATTTCACAATCATTACCATTTAGAGTTAAGGAAATAAATAAACTTGCCAAGTCTAGAAATGAATAGATTTGTTGAGTTTGGGAATTAAATATTTGCTTTATAGCTTTAGTTTCTAGGATTTTTTTTAATAAATCAAGCATATCTTAAGCTACATAATTCGAAACTTTATAGTAATCTTCTATTGGAAATTGTAAATGCCTTAAATTACCATTCTCTTTTTCAACTTGTAGAAATTAGGAGATTTTGAAGGGAACACTGATACTCAAGTATTTTTCTGCTGCTGTTTTTTTTTCATTGCCTCTTGTTTAAAACTGGTTGAGTTTGTAATTTAATATGAATGTGTCAGACAGAACGTAAGGGAATAGATCGTTCTTTCTGGAAAATCATGTAAAAAGAAAGGGCCTTTTTTTCATCACTTGGCTCACGGGGTTTAATTATTGGTGATGGGAAAGTAACTAACTAACTGCAGCATTATGTTGCAAGGCCTGTGTATGAGACAAATGTTCATGAGTTAGGGCTGGGTATGTGTTTCTATCTTGTGGTAGCTAGAATAACAAAATAAAACCATTCTGTTGTTTTCACTCACCATACTTGTTCCTTCAGGTTGTTGCTCACCTTTCACAGTTATTGATGAAAAGATGACATTACCATCATACTGTTTCATACCCTCACCACAATCAACAATGTGATTTATATAACTGTGAAAGGTGATCAACAATGTGACAAAACCATCATACTACGGCTGATGTTGGCTGAAGTTGAAAACTTATTGGCTAATTTGAACCCTGAATCCCTGATACGGTCTATTGTTGTGCTCGGTAATGGTAGGTCATTTTTCTTTATGTCTCTCCTCAGTTAGGTGGCATCCCAGATGTGGTTTGTTACCTTGGACCAAACCTTGCAAATTTGGCTGCTTTGAGTGGTTGACTGGCTGTTTGTTCTTTCTCGCTCTCTCTGTCATATCTAAGTGAGCTGGCACTTGTGAAGGTGGTTTGTAGCATGGTACTGGTAACAGTCTTATGGTGGGATGTGTGGTGGTGGGTGGTGTTGATTTATGGGTTGGGGGTGATGTTTGTTGAGGGCTGAGGAAAGACACAATAAAACCACTCCCGAATTGGACTTGAAATCGAATGACCTGATGAGAACCTAATCGAAAATGATCTTACCCGACCTTGATCTTAAACCAATGTCACTGAAATTTATCAACTTTCCCTTGGTAAATTAATTTACAATAGACATGGCCTGATGTGGTGTTGACTGTTGACCTGATTCACTTGAACTGAATAAACTCATCACCTGAACATAACCTAGAGCAAATTGTTCCGAATCAAACCTGATTTATTAATCCTTTCGCCACCTAAAGTTGGTAGTGTTGGTGGATGTGGCAACCAAAGGAAAAGGAAAAGGAAAAGAAATAGTTTTTGCCCTATCTGTATTTTGGAGATTGAATCTTTTGTATTTCCTATTATTACTTCAGTGAGAAATTGAGGATGGGATAGGATGCTGGCTATGTAGTGGTGAGATCGAGCTTTGAAATGTTTGTTTTTTTCTCAGTCCTTTATGGTGACAGGTGGGTTAGAATGGTGATTATGGTAGTGGCGAGGATTAGATCATGCCTTCATGGTCTTGGGTGAGGTGATAGAGGAACTTGTAGAAATTTTTATCCTTGAGGGGAGAGATTGGGTATGTAGTAGTGAGATCGAGCTTTGAAATGTTTGCTTTTTTCTCAGTCCTTTATGGTGCCAGGTGGGTTAGAATGGTGATTATGGTAGTGGCGAGGATTAGATCATGCCTTCATGGCCTTGGGTGAGGTGATAGAGGAACTTGTAGAAATTTTTATCCTTGAGGGGAGAGATTGGGTATAAGGAATTCAGGAGTTTAGGTGTAACCAAAAAATAACAGAGGAAAGTGAATGTTGATCAGCAAACTTAATACTAACTAAAGGAAACAAGGGTGTTTTTGAAGTGAATAATCTCCGTTTAAATCACTAAATTTGATTTTTATTTTTTTAAATAGTTGCTGTACATAAACTGAACAAATAGGTCATAATAAAAAACGATTGAACAAATAAAATGCACAATAAGAGACTCAAGTCATAAAAATATATTCAATGTTGCTGAAGTTGGTTTCGAGGCATCTTAAGACCAGATAATAATATAAAATGAAGGATTTTTTTTTTGAATCCTTCCCTTCTGCCTTCACTAAGTTTTATGAAAATGCTTTCTCTAACAGAAGCAACTGATTGGTTACTGTAATTTGCAATTTCCTTTTTAATGTTATTGATGTATTGTCTAAGGGTGCAATCTTTGTTGATTAAGCTGTTTATGCAAGGTGCTTGGAGACTATACGGTGCATGTATATCATTGCATGACAATAGCTTCTGTGGGGTTCTCTTGGTGGCAATTCCTTGAACATGAGGTTCTTGAGTTTGAATTCCCACAAAGGCTTTGTGTTACTTTCCTCTCTTATAAAGCGTAACTAATTTTTTTTTTTTTTGAAACATAAAGTGTAACTCTGTTGCTTATATATGAAAGGATAGTGGTTATTATTGTTAGTCAGGGGTGGCCCCGTGAAATGTTAAAATCAGGGCCTTGGGAGTAGGGGTTAGATTATAAAACTATAGAAGTGATATTATATTTTGTATTAACCCATCTTCCCTTCACTGCTCTCTTCAATCAAAGGTATTTGAAGTGCGATTGCTGTATAACTGTCAAAGGTTGTCTTTGAGTTTTGATCTAATGAAAAGCTGTTTTTAGTGGGTAGAAACTGGGAAAACACTGACCACCTTATCATTTTCCATGATTTCCTTACATTGCCATTGGTCATTACTTTCTGAAGCTTTATTAAATTAATTTATAATTTATAATCTGTTTATCGGAGAATGAAGATAATGATTATGTGCTTGCTTGTAAATCAGTTGTAGACGGTGGGTCAAAAACACTTCGACAATTACAAGCTGAAGAAGATGAGGAGGAAAGGTTTCAAGCAGATTTGAAGAAAGCTGTGCGGCAAAGCTTAGGTAGTGGTGGTTTTATTTGTGCCACTGGTGTGTGGTAAACATTTATAATCTGTGACCTTTTTACTCCCTCCATACCCAAATTTCAACTCAATTTTTGTTTTGGGATTTTTCAAATAGTTTGACTCACTTTTATTACATTCCATCTTTTTGGCAAACCTCTTTTACAATCGTACCCCTTTTGTCACACATTATTAACACCTTTCCTCTCTCCGTCTCTTACGTTATCCAACTTTTTCTTACACCCATCCAATTTAAATTTCTCTCTTATTTTGTCCTCTTTTTCCTTACACCCACTCCATTTTCTCAAATTTACCCAGAAACAAGAGCCTATAGTCCTATAGTAAGTGAATCAAACTTATGGGAATGGAGTGTGTGTGTGTGTGAGTGTATATATATATATGTGAATGGAGTGTATATATATATGTGAATGGAGTGTGTGTGTGTGAGTGTATGTATATATATGTGAATGGAGTGTGTATATATATATGCGAATGGAGTGTGTGTGTGTGTATATATATGTTAGTTATATGCATACATATGGATTGTGAATGTTTTCATATGTAAGTTGCAGGTTGGTTTTGTGTAACATCCTCTACTTGATATTGGTGATTGTGTTATTAGATATTGGCATGTTACACATGGATACACAATATTTTATTGCTTTATTGCTTTATTGAATATAATGAGTAGCTGCTTTCTTCTTCTTGTTTTATTTATTTATTTTTATCCTTGAGTTATTTTATTACCTCCGTTACATATTAGTTGCAACTTTGGGGTATTATTTGTGGGACATAAAATATTCCAAAGTTGCAACTAATATGTAGCGGAGGTAGTATTATACGGGTAAGGGATATTCAGTTAAACTATAAAATTTGTTGCACTTAATTTTTTTTCTTTTTTTTTGAAAACAATGTTTCATCTTTGTTGCAGAGCCTTAAACTTATGTTTGTGTTCCATCCTAGCTTAGGTCAGCCTTTCCTTTTTGTTTATTTATGTTTGAGGAGTAAAATATTGGTTAGGTGTTCTTTAGACTCAGTGTTTTTGTTATCTTACTAAATCAAACATATCTTTGTGTTGTGGCTGCCTGAAAAGTATGTGGTTGAGTATCTGGTTATGAATCTAAATGTCGTATGATATACACATTGAGACTCATAAGTAAAGTTCATTGAAAAAACATATTATTTAGTTACATGAATAGACAAAAAAATATGGGAGATCATGTATGAATTCTATTATCCTTTGAAAATGGGGTTGGGCAGAGTATCCACCAGTCTGAGATGGCATAGAAGATTGAAATTGCTTATAGCCTGGCAACAAGGAACATTATGTGATATAAAAATTGGCATTGCTAATTTTAACTATTGATTGAATTAGCTCTGTGGGGTAAGTTGTTTGTGTTAGTTCAGAATTTCTCTTGATATTAAACATTGTGTCTATTGATGCTCTCTTGGCTTCGATAAGATGAGGACCTCAGTTTAACTCTTCTGAATTTTTTTGCCAGATACATTTCAAGCCCGTAAGAAGCTGCCTTTGGTTCCAAATTCTAGGGTAGTACAACATACCTTGCAGAATGCAGATGGTTTGGGAACAGAAACTGGTGATTCGATTAGCGTAAATGTGAATGAATTGGATTCCTTTGGTGCAGGACTGCAGAATGAAATTGGTGAATACAATTGCTTCTTAAATGTGATCATTCAGGTTTGTAACATAACTCATTTTTCATTATTCTTGACTTCATGCTGCATGCAGCTATTTTGGCCTGATTTTTTCACGTGGCTTGTCGTAGTCCCTGTGGCATCTAAAACGGTTTCGGGAAGAGTTTTTGAGGAGATCGCCTTCTGAGCATGTTCATGTGGGAGATCCTTGTGTTGTTTGTGCGTTGTTTGATATCTTAACAGCATTAAGTGTAGCATCTGATGATGCAAAAGGCGAGCCAGTGGCACCTACTACTTTGAGGATTGCTCTGAGTAATAGATTTCCAGATAGTAGTTTCTTTCAGGAGGTAAGTGTTTGTAAACTAATTTTCTTCGTATTTATATATTTTTGTAAGACTGATCCAATTTACTGCAATCAACAGGGTCAGATGAATGATGCTTCTGAAGTGCTGGATGCAATATTTGAATGCCTGCATCAATCATTTATTTCAGGTCCAGGCGGTTCTGACAGTGAGTCACTACTAAATAACCGCTTACAGTCTTGGGATTGCACCAGCCCTTCGTGTATAGCACACACTCTTTTTGGAATGGATATATTTGAACAAATGAATTGCTATAGTTGTCATTTGGAGTCCAGGCATATGAAGTACACTTCTTTTTTTCATCACATTAATGCCAGTGCCCTGCGAACAATGAAGGTATGACTTTTAGAGCGATATATTAGACACTATCAATCATCTTCTCGTCTTATGCTTCATAAGTTCATTAGGGCTTAAACAAATTTTATCTGTCCTTAGGCATATCTTTGGCTTACTACTTGACTCCCTATTATTTTCAGGTAATGTGTGCAGAAAGTTCATTCGATGAGCTATTGAATTTTGTTGAGATGAATCATCAATTAGCTTGTGACCTAGAAGATGGTGGGTGTGGGAAGCTTAATCATATTCATCACATTCTCTCAAACCCTCCTCACATCTTCACTGCAGGTGATTTATAGTTTCTCTTGTCCTTTGAATATACCTTTTCTTTTAAATTCAACATCTAGGTGTTTTGTTGAATGCTCTCATTGAAATCTCTAATTGAATTTCTATCATGTCTTGCAGTTCTTGGTTGGCAAAATACATGTGAGAGTGTTGATGACATTGCAGCAACTTTGTCAGCCTTGGCTACTGAGATAGACATCAGTGTGCTTTATCGTGGTCTAGATTCCAAGAATGTGCATCGCCTGGTTTCCGTGGTATGTACCTTGTCTTGATGGATTACCTTGGATAATGTAGAAACATAAGTACTATGGTTCTGTTTGCCAAAAATAGATAAATAAAAGCGTCGTTGGATAGCTGTGGTGTTTGACTGTTCAATTACGAGAAGGATGTTGCTTATAGAAAACGAAAATTTATCAAAGCATCTTTTTTCTTTTTGTGTGTTATTGCCTAGACTTATTTGGGCGAGTAGTTTGCACCTTATAAGACCTTTTTTTTTTTTTAAAAAAAAATCATGTTATTTTTCCTTTTAATGCATATTGGCACGGGTTTTCCCTCTCTATGCTTCTGTAAACTTCTTCCTTCTGACATGATATATTTATTCTTCTGTTATGCTCCTCAAACCTCTTTATTTTCTTTTAGCTTTGCTCCTTGAAAATTGCGGATTAATAAAACGTAATCTCACACCTAGAATCCTGTCTGAAAGTCTAAATTAAGATTTTCCTATGACCGGCTTGGATCCATAATTGACCTGTATCAGAGTCTCTAAGCATTATGGACTTCTAATATTTACGCATTACATCCACATGCCTTGCTGAATCTAAGTTTTAGTAGCTTGACAAAAGTCTTATTTTTACCCCTATCATATACATACATACATACTTACATACATACATACATATATATATATATATATATATATATATATATATATATATATACATATATATATATATATATATATATATATATATATATATATATATATATATATATATATATATATATATATATATATATATATATAGATTTAGGGTCAAATGAGAAGTGACCTGAAATGAGAAGGATTTTATGTGCATAATTTTTGTATAGAATGTGCATATTTTTTGAACTAAATGTGCAAAAAAAAATTTGACCCAAATTCGATGTGCATAAGTTTTGAACATAATGTGCACATTTCTAATTTTCTAGAAAATTCAAAATTTTTATTGGTTTGAAAAGCAATTATGCACATTTAGTGACAAAATATATGCGCATTTAGTGAAAAACTTTTGCACATTTCATCCTTCTCACTCTTCTCACGTAATTACGTGCCATAGTGTCACGGTTCAGGATTTTGAGCACCGGAACGTGCGGCGCGCTCTAGCCTCTTTTACGCTAGCCTGAGCGTGGAAGAGGGGCTTGTGAGCACAAAACAACACAAGCGGGCAATTAAACCTCAAGAGTGCTCACGTCTTTTAGCGACGGAGTGCGGGTGGTCGGGGATTGTGATGGCCGATATTTCAAGGCGGGCACAAGCGAGTCCGAACCACGAGTTCTTATAGCATCAAGTTGGTGTGGAGGAGAGCTATTATTGTAAGTAAGACACAATACCTATAAAAGTCTAGCAAAAAAAAAGTATAAAAGCAAGGCAACACTTGGTAGAAGGCTTCTGGATTTCATTAATCATTCGCCCTCTAAAGAGCTTTAAATGGTTTACATAAAGAATCCCTAGTGAACACTGAAGTGAGTGTAACATAATAATGGGATCTAAGACCGAGAAAACATAAAGTAAACTCTAGGAAAGCATTAAAAGGGCATCTAATACATCAAAAGGAGTTGGATTCTAACATGCTCCCCCACTTAAGCTGTTGATGACCTCGTCGATTTACAAGAATTACAATCAAAATTAGAAAATTCTAATCTATCTTGAGTTTGTGGTGCGTCGTTGATGCGGTTGGCTTGTTGAATCTTTGTCGACTCTGGATCCGATCTTCGTTGTTGCCAAGGAGCTTGTCTCTGGGGTGGCTCTTCTCGAACAACTTGTTGAGAGCTTCATCTCTGAATTTCCTCTTCGGAGCTGCATCCTTTGGTTCTTGGTGGAGAGCTGCTTCCTCGATCATGTTCAGTGGGGAGCTGAGACTGTAGTGGTAAGCTTCTGATTGTGGCTGGTGCCTCTTGGGCGTCCATTCTCTTTGTGATTCCCTTTACGTGACCTCTGTTGTTGGCTTGATTGGCTCGACTTTCCCTTTCTCCCTTAGGGCCTCCTGTACGGACATGGATGACAATCTCTTCTGAAGCTTGTGAATCTCTTCTTTGTGCTTGCACTCTCACCATTTGTGTGAGCCTCAACAAAGTAGGCAGTTAAGCAACTTTGTGTTTGCCGAGGACGTGTCGGCATGGGAGTTTCCGGAGTTGTGGGAGGGGGTCGATGTTGATTTTTGAGCATCACCTCCTCCACTTCTTCTTTGGTATCCATCAACAGTGTTGGACGATACTCGTGAGCCGACCTTTGTACCCTTTTGAGAGCTTGGAGCCGGGTTATCGCAGCGTGCGGACGTCCCACTTGAACATTCTCGGATTAACGAAACTTCCCGACCGAGTAGTCCATCAATCTCTCAGCAGCACACATGGCGGCAGCAAGGGTGTCAATCTCCTGCCTTAAAATCTCTCGCTGCGCCCATTCCTTCAACCCATTGACAAAGTTGAATACACGATCTTTCTCATTCATGTATGTGATGTCCAACATTATCACCGAGTATTCCTTCACATAGTCGCGAAGAGAGCACTTCTGGCGGACACTCTTAAAACTTCATGCGAGCAACAAAGTCTATGTCGTCGGGGTAGAATTGTTCTATAAGTTCCTTCTTGAACTCTGCCCATGTATCAATCTTTATTTTCCCTGCTTCGATGTTTGCATGTTTGGTGCGCCACCAGAGCTTAGCATCTTTGGACAAGTACATGATGGCAGGTGCCACCTATTGATTGTCATTCAATTGACATATTCGAAAGTACTGCTCCATGTCGAAGTGGAAGTTGTCTAATTTCTTTGGCATCTCTAGCGCCACTGTAGTCGCGAGGTTTGGGCGGTTAATCTTCACCGCACCAACCCCATTTACGTCTCTACCCACAGTGCGCATTAGGGTAGCACATTTCTCAAGTGCTTCATCGGCTCGTCCTTGAGCAAAGTTCAATCGCTCGCGGAGTGCTTCTCTATCCTCCATCAATTTCACAATTTGCTCGGCTTGCTCGTGTACAATGACTTGGAGCTGGGACCATTTGTCCGCTTTATCCTCGAGCCAAGCGAGCCTTTCTTCTACAAATTCCATCTTTGTGTAGCCCTCCTTGGTGCCTACACGGGTTCCTTGCAATGAGGTTTGGACCTCGGCTCTGATACCAATTGTCACGGTCTGGGATTTTGAGCACCGGAATGTGCGGCGCGCTGCGGAAGAGGGGCTTGTGAGCACAAAGCAACATAAGCGGGCAATTAAACCTCAGGTGACAGAGTGCGGGTGGTCGGGGCCATTGACGGCCGATACCTCAAGGCGGGCACAAGCGAGTCCGAACCACGAGTTCTTATAGCATCAAGTTGGTGTGGAGGGGAGCTATTATGCTAGTAAGACACAATATCTATAAAGGTCTAACAACAAACAAGCATAAAAGCAAGGCAACACTTGGTAGAAAGCTTCTTAATTTCATTAATCATTCGCCCTCTAAAGAGCTTTAAATGGTTTACATAGAGAATTCCTAGTGAACATTGAAGTGACAGTAACACAATAATGGGATCTAAGACCTAGAAAACATATAGTAAACTCTAGGAAAGCATTAAAAGGGCATCTAATACATCAAAAGGAGTTGGATTCTAACACATAGATTCATCTATTCATTTCAATGTGTTCTACATCGTCTTATGTACTTCAACTAGTTCAACTTTTTTTTCTTACATAACATTCAGCGCTCAATGGTAACATTGCGGTTAAATAATAGTTATCTCCTATAACTTTCAAAGTCAGCCTTAGTTGGAAATATATATATATGCAAGCCTAAAGAAGTAATTCTAGGATTTGGTTTTTTGGACATCAATTAAGTGGGCAGTGGGTTTGGCTGATTCCCTTGAGATCCTGAAGCAGATTTGGTTTTTGAATGAATGGATGGGTTGGGTAACCATTTCATGCTTTTAAGCTCTATTTCTTAGAGAAAGAGTGGGAGTATAATGGATAGTTGTTGTGGTCTTTATGCTTGATGTGCATTGCCTGAAGACTTATTTAATAACTTTAATTTTAAGTCTGTTTATTAGGTAAATGGAAACTTCTAATTTCCTGAAACTTGCAAATAGCAATGACAACATTATCCCTGATCTTGGCGCCAATCATTTGAAGTGGCTTTTGAAAGATACCTATCTGCATAGGGTAGTTACTTATATAAGTGTACTCTTTAGTCTTTAATGTGCCTTAGATCTCCCTGCAAAGTATGGCAACAGCTGAATAGTGAAGATAATTATCCTTGAAGTCTTGAAGGGGACACCCAGTCCCTTGACTTCCTTGAAATCGTTGATGATACTCAATGGAAGCATTTTCCACTTCTCTAGATTTTTGTGGGTATCCTTTATCACTGCCTGGCAAAATCAAATCTGACATATATCTATATCCTCAAGATGTGAAAAAAATGTACCCTTTCCATTCTTTAAGGAATCTAAATGAGAGGGGACTAGGAGATATCTTTAAGCTTAACAGAGACTCAAGATAAAAGGACCTTCTGGTGGGTGATGCTTGATGGATTTTCACTCATCAGTATTTATACTTTTGTAGCCATGCACTGAGACTCCTAACTTGCAGTCTCTCTTCCCTCTTTTTATAATAATTATTTTTTCGTAAGGCCTTGGATCCAAAGTGGGCTACATCGTTTGTGTGGGGTGCTAGTTTGGAGAAGTTTAACACTTATGAGAAAACTATCTGGTTGAAACCCAGCATAGCATTGCTGTCTCATGTGTGTATCTTATGTAATGCCAGTGTAGTGGTGGGAATCACTTGTTCTTGTATTACAAGTTGTTGTGTAATCTGTGGCAGACTTTAGGTATTAGTTTGGATAGGCTAGTCCAGCTATCGTTCTAGATGATTTGTTGGGCCATTATATGACTTTTTGGAGGTATGAGGAGAACAATATCTTTGGTGGTCTGCAACTTTCACCGTTATGTGAGTGCTTTGGTTGGGAGTGTATGATATCTTCAATTTGCTTATTTTGTGAAACCAATGTAGCCTTAGGTTTTCCTTGGGCTTGTACAGTTATACCGCAGTGTCTGCTGTCATGTTTGTCTTAGATGTGACATATGAAAGAGCTGTTACATTTATATCTCACTTGATTTCGGGATCTAGAGTTCTAGTCCCTGGGTTCATATTGTGTTTTTCTCCATTAGCAAAACGTGTTCTTATCTTAAAAGTATTTCACTTGGTTTGCAGGTTTGCTATTATGGTCAACATTATCATTGCTTTGCTTATAGTCATGAATGTGAGAGATGGATAATGTATGATGACAAGACAGTGAAGGTAAATTTTATTTTCTTCAGCATCCACAGTTAATTGTTTCTTTTCATTCCTTAATTATTGATAAACATTTTCTTGTCAGGTCATTGGCACCTGGGAGGAGGTCCTTTCCATGTGCGAAAGAGGGCATTTACAACCCCAGGTTCTCTTTTATGAAGCTGCAAACTGACTGAATGCAGGGCCTGGTCATTATAGCTAGAGAATGGGAGGGTAAACGGCAAAATCGTCTGTGGTTATAAATAATGCCTTGCTGAAGGCGTTTTGATTAAGTCACTGATATCTTCCAGAAAGTTGAAAAAGTTCGATGATTGAAATCCTAATTTCTGCTAGAAAGAGGATTAGAGAGAGAAAAGTTTTGCTCACTGAAGAGTATCTGACACAGCGTCTTCCTGGAACGGAGTCAAAACAACACTGAAATGATACTGGAAGATGCTTCATTATAGGTCGATGTACTTGAGATAAGATGTCATATCATACTGCAGTGTTGTCGGAAAATGGGGGAGCATCTGCCATCTTTGTCTTCCTCAAAGGAAATTACTGACAAAGGCTCATTGTATACAAGCATATTTGCCTTTTGGCCACCCCTTAAGGTGGTTCTAAGGGAAGTTGGAGAACACCAACTGGCTGCAAATATTATGGGTTACAACTTACAACAAAGATTATTTACCGCCTGCAATAGGGAGAACTAAAACAGCAAATATGTATCTTACTCGAGCTCAATTCCTCTGTTCCCTACTCATGGACAGAAAAGAGCATGCCTTTGGAAAAACGAAACAAGGAAAAGTGAGGAAATTTTTTTGTATAGGTAGTGCGGTGTCCCATTGAACTTGTTGCAGGCTAGAATACTATTCAATATGAGAATTTTGACGATGAATAGAAATTGGCAGATTAGATAATGTGATAATTCCAGTTCTTGCAGCAAAATTCCTCACTCCCCGCCTCATTCCCTATGTGAAGAAGGCTGAAAGCCCTGTAATTAGGGTCATATTATGCGAAGTTTTGGTTATGTGGTCCGTAAGCTCATTTCGCACTGAAATTCCTGTCTTCATCAATGACAAATAAAAAAAGAAAAGAGAGAAGCGGGGATGGCCACGATGGGAGAGATGAATAATGCATATTTGATTTGATGAAATGGTCTTTAAGTACTCCTTTCGTCCCTAAATAAAATTTTTAATTTCTTTTAAGACTTTAGTTTCTAAATTTAAAGCCTTACATCTTATCTAGGTGGGTTCCAATGTTCCATAGCTTATAAAAGTTAGTACATTTTAATTCGTTTTTCGTCAATAAAATATTCTTAAACAAATGATTATTTTCTCTACTAAAAGGAGAACCATTCACAAAAACTAGTGCAAGGGGAGGAGAGTCCAATTTTATATTTTATTTATTTATTTTTTAAATATAAACTCCATATCATCCCCCATTTGGTTTGTAATGGATTGTAAAATACCACCCCTCCTGCAATTTGAAACGTTTTGTGAACTGAAGATCAGATGGCAGTCTTTCCTCCTTTGAACCTAAACTGAGTCCATTGCTATGAAACACAGGATTCATGAATTTTCTAAACAGAACCTCTATGTAAACAGGGATGGTTGGACAAAGGTTAAGAGTTTTCCATTTATGCAGACATTTAAAGAGAAAGACGAAATACAACTCATGATTGATGAGAATGTATTAGGGCAATGATGTAATTTAAATCCGATCCCCTACATACCAGAATGAAACTGTTTAATTGATTAGGGGTTATAAGGTTAGATTGAAAAGGTCGAATACTGGAAACGGGATTACAGGATTATTTGAGAAATTTATAACAGGTGACCAGACTTCCTAGTAAGCTGAAGTTTTTTTAATTTTTTTGGATTAAATTTAAAACAAACTCTTATATGTAGTTGACCACACCATATGGCCAAACACCATGAGCAATGGCGGGTCTTAGTTGTGGCGGGGAGGGACCCCCAGTTTTTTAAAGTTATTGGTTATAATTAATTTGATGTCTAATAAATACATATAAAAATTTGTGGCATAGTGGTTAAACATTGTTATTTACTTACTTAAATTTTCTCATTAAAAAAAAAGTTGAACAGTCCATATCATAGTAGGATACGGTCCGAGACATATCGTCGTGTGTCTCACGAGTGTTGGTGTCTGACACGGTGTCCGACACGGACACAACAGTTGGATGAAGGGTCCATGTACCCATTTTTAGCTAATACATAATTAAAGTTAATAATAATCAAATATAATTTTTGAAGAATGTACAAAGTCAAAAATCTATTAACTATTACTAAAATAAAACATTGCTGACATCATCAACCCTCAAACAATCTTACGTGTCATTTTCACATTAAAAATTTTCCCTCCAATTCTATGTGTGATGTCATCAATTATTAATGGTTTTTTTTTTTTATGTTTATTTTTAATCTACACTTTTGACTTCAAAGCATAAATTTCTATATAAAATTCAATTAACCAACTTTCTCTCCTAATTTATAGTTTCACATACCTAATTTGTTTGATGTTTGATCGTGGTTTCAATTTTTTTTTTTACTTTCTTAAATGTAAATTATTTTTATTTCTAATTCTAATCATAAATTACAAAAATAATTAATTCTAATCGTGCATCGCACGGGGATAACCTAGTAAGATACTATCCAAAAAAAAAAAATTGTACAGTAAATCCTTTTATATAAATTGACTAAATCTAATCTAATCTAATTAATATATATATATATATATATTATATATATATATATATATATATATATATATATATATATATATATATATATATATATATATGTAAAGAGGATTGTTTTAGTTATAGAGAATTAAATAAGAGATTTGTAAATTTTATTAGAATTAAATAATTCAAATGCCACGTAAGCAAAATTGGCGAATGAGATTTCAAATTTTAAATAATTAATTAAATATAAAATTTTATCTTTTAATATTAGAAATTTTATTAAACTATATAAAATATGAGAGGAAATTCACAATTTATTTAAAAATATAAATATTAGACGATTCCTACATACGACAAATAAAATAACAAATATTATCATATAAATACAAAAAATACCAGATGAAACCCGTACGATGCACGGTTTGTTTGTATTTTTTTAAATCAATTGTTTTTTGTATTTATAAATTGTGAATTTCCATTCTTTCGTTATATATTTAGATAAAATTCTTAATTTCAAAAAATAATATATTATATTTAATTAATTTAAACTTTAAAATCTCATTCGTCAATTTCCCTAATGTGGCATTTGAATTATTTAATTGTAAAAGAAATTACAAATCACTTATTTGATTGGCTGTAAACCCCCATATTTTTAGAGTAAATTATAATATATTTCTTTATTATTCAAACTAATATTTTGTTTTGTTTTTATTAAATAAATTTTTTTATGTAAAACTTAATTAAACTCTATTAAAATAAATAGGCACTATTTTAATTTTAATTTCTCTTCCTATGCACCAACTTACTCTGTCTATAATGTTGGTAGCCCAATTTTGAATAAAGAAAGCTTAAACTCCCATTTAAGCCTAATCTACAAATTCCTACTCCCACTTAAGTTTGGAAACCAAGCCCACATGCACATTTAAAACCCCCAAAAAACCCTTAAATTCTTCCCCCTCATTCACGTCAATTCCATCTCACTACTTTCCTCCCCTTCTTGCTTTTCACGATCAAGCAAAACACAAAAAAAAGAAAAAGAAAAAAAATCGCTTCCATAACTGCTGCCGCTGCTCAGCAACCGCCGACCACCGTAGCTCCACCCGCACACCACCATACAGACCAGTTCGCCCCTCCTCTCTCCTCCCCCCTTCTCTCTCTCCTTTCTTAATTTCTCTTTTGTTTTGTTAAATTGATTCAAGTTTAAACCTTTGATAAATTTTTGTTTCTAATTGTTATTATTATGGTTTGATTATGTATATGAATTACAAAAGACTACAAATTTAGGAATTATACTATGTTTGATTTATGGAATAAAATTTCAGATTTGGTTTAATTAAGAATTAAGGGTTTAAATCTTGATTTTTCATGATTTTAGGGTTTATAGCGTGTTGATTAAGTTAACTAATTATATTATGTGTAGATTATGTTTAAATTCAATTATCTTGATTATAAATTAATTTTAAGATTTGAATTATGTTTATTTTAGGGTTTAAGTTGTGAAATTTGAAGGTTGAAACTAATTGAATTCTAATTATATATTTCAAGTTTAGATTGTTCTATTCATACATCTATTATTAAATTAAATTTTCAGATTTTTAGTCTTGGTTTTAAAGGTTTTAATTCATGGTTTTACGATGGATTTTTAGGTTTTTAACATACTAACCTACTACACAATGATTATTTTAAGTAGAGATGTCTATGAGGTTGTTTTATAATCTTAAACTAAATTTTCAGATTATATTCCTTACTTTATAGTTGCTGGAATTTCATGTTATAAGCTATATTTTCATGATTTTAACATATAAACTTGTAGTTGAACTATTCAATTATTAACTTTGACTATTGTGAATAATTTAAAGGCATTATTTCAATGGTTTAAGGGGTTTTAAAGTAGTTTGGTATTGCTGTAAATTATATTGATTGAATTATTGTTGTTTGGTTTAGGAGAGGACTTCGTAGAGGGCGATTTCTAGTTCCTAAAGTGGCCAACCAACTCGTTTACTCAAGGTACGTGCAAGGATACGAAAAACCTTGACTTTAGGAGCATGTTTAAGGATTTGGAAAATTTAGAATCATGTTAGGAAACTTGTGGATTGGTTAAAATTGTATGGTATAAAGTTTGATTGGTGATTAGTGTGGTGTGATGATTGGTTTGATTCATGTATGAGAAATGCGTATTGATTTATCTTGTAAGTTTTATTTATGCATTAACTTGCAAGATGAGCTAAGAGGCAAAGGTACATAAATATGTGGAATGAATTATCTTTTTACTCGTTCATGTTTATGAAATGGAATGAGTAAAGGGAGAATTAAAGTCTTATAAGACGAGGTTGAGGATTTGAGGGGCCTTATGCACTTAAGGTGTTTATACACCGAGGTAGTTTAAGGATTCAATAATAAAATTTGTTGTCACTAATAAATTAAGAATTGTATTGGAAATTTGAATTGCTTGAATGATTAATGTTTGATTGGTTGCATTGTTTTGCATTTGAGTCATAATCAAGTTTAAACTTGTAAATCACGTAAAGTGCAAGATGGATGAGCAATAAAACTCTTGATCTGTGCACATCTAGAGTAATGACAAACAAGGGTTGGGGTACACGGGGTATTAGCCGTGCACTTTTGTAGAGGCCGTCTGATCTACGAGTCTCTTGTTTTCATATACTTTTTAAAACTATAAGGAGTTAGATGAGATCTCATACTAGCTATGGCCACGGAGTCGCGCCCGTCTACCGTTGGATGTTTATTGATGTTTTTGAAAGGAGACATGGGGTTTATCTTTATTGACGTTGCGAATTGGAGCAGGGGGAGACAACCTTGTCTATTGCTTAATCCAATAATAAATAAAAAAAAAACAAACAAAATGAAATGAAATGAAATATTCAGTATTATTTAGAGAGTCTTAGTATGTTAACAGTTGAGTCATATGTTTGAGTCAATAATTAAATTGTTGTGTATCGATTTTAATTAGTAGGATATTAGGAATTCTTTGTTATACTTCATAGCTTGTATGTACTCAATGTTGCTGATTGAGTGCTTTTGTGTGTCTTTTCTTGGTCATGGCCTTCGCCTTTCAATGACCCTATAATGATCCAATTGTTACACATGTAATATTGGGGAGCAGATTAATCACAGGTGTTTACATAGTCTGGACTTGCATCAAAGTGGTGGGATTTTGAGTGGAGTGTTGGTTATTGTTCATAGTTTATTTCATTTCATAAGTTTGAATTTATTTAAACTCTGGTTTGATTTATTTACTACTTTTGTTGGGTTTTGAATAAGGGCCTTAATGGTTCCAACTTGTAAGACTTAATTTCGTTTGTCTAAATATCCTACTATATTGAGCTTAAATTATTTTCACTGAACTTAAAGTATTATTACCAAACTAAAATTATTTTTACAAATTAAAACTTATTTTTACTAATTCTCCATTAATTTATTTAAATAAATTACATAACAATGCATTTTTTATGCGGCTAGCCACACCATCTGGTTGGACAAAGT